TTTTTTTTTTTTTTTCAATTTCACCTTCACCCCTCAAATCACAATTAAGAAAAAAATTCAATATATTAATTAATTAATTAATTATTACTTGCAATTTTAATTTAATTAATGTACTTATTTATTATCAAATTATAATTAATTTATTGTTTCATTTAACTAATATGATATGTCAAAGGGTTGGTATATTTGAAAAGAGACTAAAGACAGAACATATACATTAGTAATTTTAGAGATTAAGGGTAAAGTACTAAATAAAATTATACTAAAGAGTATAATATGATGCAATATAGCAAATCTTAATTTATAAAACTGCTAACCAAAATGAATTCTGCTTAACTAACTCATATTTATCATCCCTAAAAGTGTGAAGTAAAAACCCATATTCAATGTAATTTTTTTTTACTTTTGTCCGTTCAATATTATTGATCAAGATTTAATAATAATAAGATTTGAAAATTGTCCAGATAGGTACAAATGTAAAAATATCATTAAGAAAAATATAGCTCGGTCAAGAAAATATATTACTAATTATCTAATTAGACTCAATTATTTACTATTTTCTCCTCTTCTAAGTACATTCAATTATTTACTTGTCTATCCATAATTCGTTTAATCAATAGTCACGCATCTAAAATTTAAGAATTGAAATGCCATATTTACGTTGCGACAACCAACGTAAATATTAGAAACTAAATATAAACGTAATTAATTTGAAACTTAGAAATGTGATGGAAAAAAGATTTTAATCGAAGGAATTATAAATAACAAGACGATTTTTTTTCCGCTTTTGATGAAATATGTAATTCAACCATTATTCTCTTTCCAGGCAAAGATAGACACATTATTGTGGTTTTTCATGCTCGTGTTTGAAAACGCCATTTTTTTTAATTTTTAAAATTGAAAAAAAAAAACGTCATTTTCCGACATGTAGCATCTAAATTTTTATAAACGTCAAAAAAAGAAGCATTGGTATTTAGTGTTTAGACGATGCATTTCCCAGTTTGTAGAATTGATTAATATGCATGTTTTAATGTATATGACGAAGGAAGTGGTATTACGGAATTGCCCTTGACGGAGGAATTAACCAGAGGAAGGGTATGAAAGGTCAATACGGCGGGACGATCGGAGCCGTCGGATGGAGAATCTGTTTGGGAGGGACGGCGATTGATGGATTTGGTGGGCATATTGTAACTGGATATAACTATTAATTTGTTGGTTTGCGATCCGGGTCGGGTAAAAGCAGAACACAAAGGCCTGCTCCTTCTCCCCTGTTTTCTTCTCTTTTAACTCCAACAATCTAATTTTTATCTGGGAATAAAAAGAAAAAGGAAAATAATGGGAGTCCATTCTAATACTTAAAGTAAGTTACCTATTACTTTCTTTTAAGATGGAAAGATTCGATTTTTTATTTCCACACATTTGTTGAACTAAAAAAAGAGATAATTTTAAATGAGAGGTGGTTTTGATCATGTCAACAAAACTCTCCTCATAGTTTAATTAGGGTTTAGGTTCATCCACCCTTAAAATTTATTAGATCACTCTACCCTACATTTGGTAGATTGAGTTTCTCATTTGTTAAATTTACATGGAGTATTATGCCTCGTATTTT